TACGTTCAGTTCAGGCTGTTTGAAAATAATTAGCTAGCTAGCAGTTAGCCCCAAACACCTTTTTCAAAAAATAAAGTTTGAGCAAATTCAGACTGACACGTAAATTGAAATTAATTCGAACGCAATTCACGTGTTTGAATTTGACTTTGATGAGCGAAATGTTTTCACAACGTATCTATTAATATCTCTGAATTAATACGACGTATAAATATGATTTAAATGTTGTGATTCTCTCCACTTCCTGGTCCATATTCTTGTGAGATCATACATGACTAATAGCTGGAGTTAGAAGGCCAATAAGCAGGGGTCTAATATTTGGTGACAGACAACACTTCTATTTACAAAATGTCACTTTATACATCTATTATACAGTTATCTACCATTTTACTCATATATTCCACTACTTTAGGAGCCTAAGAGTTTAGTAAACCCATTTCTCTTCCATTATGTAAAAATAATTGACCATCGGTTTGTTTAGCCTCTGCAGCTTCAGTGAGTGACAAGATGTTTTTTACCCATAATTTTTCCATCTGTGGAAAATCCAAAACTGTGAGACATTATTTCTCAGTTGGTTTTGTGCCATGATTTTGTTCCGCACGGCTCGACAGTTTTATCCAGCAGATGATGTGAAGGTTTAAATCTACAAACTTGAAATGTAGTTAAATTTTAAAAAAAAAAGAAAAAGAAGAAGCTTGTTGACTCTTATTTTGAAATTATTTTGTTACACGTGTCGATTTTGAATTGGAACAGGTAAATACACACTTTTCAAAATAAGTGTCTGCTGATTAATCTTCCTCAGAACTCTTCAATTCTCCGTGTAAACAACTTGAGTATTATAGGGTAATTTTCTGTTCATATATATATATATATATATATATATATATATATATATATATGAAGTTTTTTTTTTACAGGACTTGTAAGAGATGAACAACTGTACTGTGATTATAAAACCCTGCACATTAATATCATAATTACAATGTAAGCAAGTGAAACTCTGCGATAGAAACACAACAAAGCAAAAATACAAACAATATCACAAGAGATTTAACAGTCAGTCAAAATCATTGAAGTGGAACGATGTGAGGAGCAGTTGATAACACACTGTAGGCAACTCTGAGAGGTAGCGCAAGCAAACTCCACACGAACCCGTGTTCGAGTCTATCAGAGCAGAAATCAGGAAAGCTAGCATTCGTACTGACACTGAGCTTTTTTTTTTCTTTTTCTTTTTCTTTTTTTGCATAATGTGACTAATAAACAGGCATGCTACATACAGTACAGGAGTGGGAGGAGTTAAGGTGGGAGCAGGGCGGTGCTGCGTTCGTATCGTATCAGAGTGAATGTAATTGTTTCCTGTAAACAGCGTTCATGTCAACATTCAAGTCGTCATAAGCTCCGATAAATCCAACAACAAACAATATGGAAACGCATGAAAACAAACTGAAGACAGGTTTAACGGATGTGGTGTTATATTGTATTATTAATATTATGATCATACAACCGTCTTGATGACGTGAACGCCTGCAAGTCGCCTCCCTCCCTCCCACCTCTGAGCCTGACCTCGCCTCGACGCAGAGACGCCGTCTGATTGGTGTCGAGTTCAAACGTGTCATTTTTTTGAACCTTCGAGTTTCATCTTCACAGCAGCAACATTTTCTAAAAAAAAAAAAATGGTCCGAGTTCAGTTACGTCTCCATTACAATGCGAAGAGGAAACAAAGGGGCGGGGAACCTTTACCGGGCGGACATATTACAATTTCTCATACTATATATTTACAAGTGCTACTCGGTTAGCTCTCCTGATAAACGAGGCTACGGTCTCATGGAAAAGCATTCTGTAATAAATAGTGTAAACATGCACGGGGTATAGAAGATGAAGGGCTGATTTAGTTCCTTAACACCAGCTCAGCTCCTCAGAGTTCCCTCTGAAACAACCTGTCCTCAAAGTGTCTGTCAGCCCACACACACACACACACACACACACACACACACACACACACACAGTTTCTGTGCAGGTTGGCACACACTCCGGTGTTTGGCACAGCGTCACACTGAGGCTCTAGAAACGAGAGACGAGACGAGGACCAGATGAGCTCTATGCAAAAATCAAAGTGTTAATCAGCTGATGATCCAGATACAGAGTCACATCAGAACCAGAACTTAACCCAGTGTGCAGTCCGTCACCATCAGCTTGTTCCATTGACTTTTATCATGATGTTTCATATCACCCAATCAAAAATCCAGATTCCAGGTTCGTTAAAAAGTCATTACAGATCCTCATCTATCCTACAGAGCTCCACCTGGATTCAGGCTTTATTTACTGTTGAGATGTCGTCTGCTTCATCACACACACCTTTATATTAGTGGTGGGCATCTTAATGAGTGTTAAACCACAGCTTAAAAGGACACGTTCACATTTTTTTCAAGTTTCTTCATTAAAGCTCCTCCAGTGTAAAGGTCTGTGTCCATGTGTAGTGTGATTATAGATCAGCTCTAGCTTCTATATTAATACTGTGAAAGTATCAAAGCCTCAGTCCACAGAGAAATGCACACAGCCTGTATTCAGAAACTGAGCCTTAAAACCAGCCGTCAGGACTTCTGGAACTTTGTGATGTCACAACAAAGCAGTCACCAAGCCCCGCCCACCTGGACCCACCATCCAAACCTTTACAGGATTTGGTTTCTCTGAGTGTTTTTACCTGAAATCTGCTTTATTTTTATTGGATCACTCAGAAAACAGTCAGCCAATCAGAAGAGAGGCTCAGAGTGCAAAACCACATTTTAAAGTTTGACATTTAATGTTTCAGAAGTCACTGTTACGGCCCCTCTGCCACGGCTCAGCAAGGAAACTCCTAAAAAGACTTGGGACGATATCCACTCGTACTGACTTCACATACGCTTTAAGAACTTTTGCAGATATCAAGATAACGGAATAAATATCCCGTTATCTTGAGAAAACAAAGCTCTTTTATCTTGAGATAACGGGATGAAAAATATATTTGCGAGTATGACCTTTCCGGGCTTCCATACATTGGCGATGAATCAGGAAGAGTCGGAGTGATCACAGCCACCGAAAACTGTTGCAATGTTCACACCTGCAAAAAATGTGAACTTGTCCTTTAAATCTCAACCCTGCTTAGATCCAGTCAATGTTCGATGCTCTAACCACCTCTAAAGAGACTCAACATGGACCAGGTGCCTAAATTAATTTTTAGCATCAGACAAATGTTTCATATTTACAAATCGACTCAGACAGAAACAATAATTTCTGTCCTTTGGGATAAAGAAACTGAGATTTGAAAATCAGTAGGAGCAGGGAGTTGAAATGAAAAGACCTGAGAGAAAACACAAGCAATAAAAGTAAAACTGATCCGTCTCACGTTGCATCACTCAGAGTACAGACCTGCGGTGTAAACGTAACCTTAACCACCCAAATTAATGGAGGGCCTCGAGATCACTATCACACTGTCCATCACTCCAGGTCTATTAGGGGGAAAGGGCTGCACGTCCTGTGGTCAGAGAGAATAATTAAATACGTTTGAATCAGAGCGACTGGAATCAGTTACAAGCTAAAAAGCAGAAGCACTTAGACGTCCAGACAAACCACAACTCGGCACACCACACACATTCCAGCTCTCTGCTTCACACTCTTTCCTCTCGGGGATCAACTTCTTTTTTTTTTCCCCTGGTCGTTCAACAAAAGCTCACAGATCCAAACACAGCCTGAACATCCAGGTTTCGTTAGAGAAATTTGAATACTGTCTAATTAGGGATGGTAATTTTTTTTTGCAGCAAGTCTTTTGCCGAATTTTAAGATACTAAAGATACTGACATCGGAGAGATGCCAAGAAATGAGGGTAGAGATGAGGGAGGACGTCCCGGCGACGTGATCATATGGTCGGCATCTTAAACTCATTTATAGCTGTGTCCCAATTCAGGGGCCACATCCTTCAAATGCATCCTCCGTTTCCTAACGTATCCCAAGATGCATTGTGTCTCAGAAACGAAAGCAAACAGCAAGGGCCCTGTTATGTGTTGTCAAGGTTTCTAGGTGACAGGAGCTGCGCTTGGCGACGCAACATTAAGGGTGGGAACAGATAGTGACGCAACGAGAAAAATACGTAGACCGGACTGTCATTTCGGTTCGGCCTTCGTGTCTACAACGGCCACGAACTGCCACACCTTCGTAGACCGTGTCCCCTGAAGCGCGCGGCCCCTGAATTGGGTCTCAGCTAATATCAGTTTGTTTTTTATAAATTTTAGCAGCTTTTAATACAGTAAACATCGTGTCCCACAGGCTGAATGGTGAGGTGTGGCTCACTTCATATATCTAGCTTTATGAAAATGATCTAATATTGTTTAGATTATATTGTTATTAGATTATATTTCCTTCTTTTATAAGACTATTTCCCATAAGTCCTAGAAACTTTGGAGGCTAAACGTCACTGTCTGCCAACACAGATGAGTCCACAGGTGAGTTCAGGAATCTGGTTAGTTCAGACGTGTTTGTAACGACGGCAGAGATCACGGTAGAAAAACACGTTGACACCTGTAAATCTACATGGAAGCTTTTTTAACTCTGTTAGGTTTCAATGATAGAAGGTGCTGTTGTCTCAGAATATGGCAAATAAACTCCAGGAACAAGCTTCATGTTCTCAGACAGACGGTGAGAAAATCGACGGAAGCTCATGGAGCAGATGTGACGTCGGGACTTCGGTCTCTATCACATGACCGCCAGGTAGCAGCAGCAGCGGCGGCAGCAGCAGCAGCAGCAGCAGCAGCAGCAGCAGGATCGGCATGTCTGACCTCTGTGTTTGCATGTGTGCACAGTAAACACAGCAGGAACAGGTGGACACTGAAACAGTCCTCCACTCTCTCATCTTTTTCTTTCCCGCCTTCACAGTAAAGATCATCACTGCAGCATCGTTCGAGCTCAGACCAAGTTCCTACTTTTTTTTTTTGGCATCAAAACATGACACCCCCCCCCCCCGTCTGCTCCGATACTGGACCTGTGGCACGGAGACTCATTCAGAGATCAGAGTAATCCAACTTCCATAGAGACAGATGTCCGTTTCCATGACAACAGACACAATTGTTCATCGATGAGAGAGCGTGTAGAGAGGGAGAAAACAGTCTGAGGAGGAGATGAAACGATGCATCCCGTCTCCTACTGCATATCCAGATGGGGCGTCGGTGTCAAGAGTGGGTGGGTTGGCGGGCGGGCAGGCGGGTGAGTGGGTTGGTCGAGTTGGAGGTAGAGCGTCAGGCAGACCATGCTTGTCGTCGTGCAGCAAGAAACAACAGCAAAGAACGGGAACAGATTTTTATTGGGTTTTCATCCGGTGCAGGCGCTTGAGAACGATAGTGCTTCAGGAACGGGAGGGGGAGCGGCGTCGTGGCGGTCCAGGGGATTTCATCAGGATTTTAATATCACTGCTGAGAGAGAAGGAAAGAATTTCACTCATATTAAAGTGGTTTTACACCTCAGAAAACCTATGAAATGGTTGTGATTGTGTAAGTTCTAGAGCAAAACCCTGAACTTCCTGTTTGAGTTTACCTTTGATTTGCTGTGTCCTGCCTCCACACAATACTCCCGTCAGAAAGTATAGGCAACACTATTCACCCATCTTCATCTGCAAGGATTAACTGTTGGTTCTTTGCAGAAGGTTGTGTTTGTTTTCCTTTTACATCTTGAAAAATAGCAGATTAAGAAATGTCCAATTTCCCATGTTCATGTCTGGAAGAATCTTCGAACGCGAATCGATCTCAGACAACCCTAAAGTGGCCTTGATGTTAGCTGAACTGCCTCACTCCCCAAGTGGGTCGTGTCCTCAAGTCTCTGCTCCTGTATGTTGGGTAGACACGGTAGGTAGTAGCAGCTGCTAACTATCTAACTTTATTAATACTCTTAACTTTATTACCTTCTGAGTTTATGAATTAGATTGTGTGAAGTATCTACAGATGAACGCAAATGTTAGCTAGCTTCTAACTTTAGTCTTAAGTTACAGTTAAGGTAACTAATATTCGCTAGCTGTTGGCGTCCTTTCATTTCTGGTGTTAGCTTGTCAGTTAGCTTGTGTGTTGTGTAAATCAGTGTTCACTTCTGCGTCTGTGAATTATCCTCACGGAAACAGCTCTAAATATGTGCAGAGTCGACAGTTTCTGTTACACATCAGAAGATCTCCGATCCGTGGCCATATGAACATCCCATAGTAATGCTGCTCTCTTTTCATGTTTCTTATGTTTTTATGTCACACGAATACTTTGCCCTGTGTATAATGTGTCTTTTGTTTTTTTAAAATGTGACCTGCACCCTGATCTATGGAGTGCGGTATTTCCCTTCCATGTGTGCTGAAATGCAAATTACGGTGGTGACAATTAAATCTGATTCTTTGATTTCATTATCAATATAAAATGTAACATATAATCTAATGTCAGCAAACAGTGGTGCCCAGTCATTAGCATTGGTACTAGCTTCAAAAGCTAGTATTCAAAAGTCACAAAGCATCGAACAACAAGTGTGTCCCACCGTAGTTCTGACTAAAACTAGAAATCACCACCAACGAGTCTGTTCTTGTGACAGAATAAGAAGTTAACTGCAGCTATAGTTAGAAAAGGCTTAAAGTGACAAAGTGACTCAAAGCTTCTGAACTTCATTTTAAATTCTATCCTAAAGTTTCTAAAAATAATGAATGTGTCAGGCTGAATTTTCTCTTTTTGACTGAATGGCACAGCCATAAAAACATTGAACATTTCACTTGTTGTAAACATCATGTAGCTCATACAGCTGATACAGAACATTATGATCATACTGTCTTAAGGTCTGTTTTGTAAACTTCTCAAGAGATAATTAAATGTGAGGCAGTTAAAAAACCTGACGTTACTCACATCCCCAGTTGAGGATGATGGCTGCAGTGATGATGGCGATCCCTCCCAAGATGGCCACGACAGACAGAACCATGGCGTTGCGACCCAAGCGACGAGCTCCGTCTATGTTGCCTTGCTGCAGACTGTTTCGGGACTGAAGAGAAACAGAGGATGAAGAAACTTTTAAGCCAATACGTGATCAAAAGTAAAACTCAAATACCTTTAAACCTGGTTTTGGGTTTGCTGAATACTGCAGAAAGACTTTTATTTTGAAAATGAGTTGATTAAGTTGTGACAACAAGACATCCATTAGTTTCTGTATAAAAAGACACTGTCCAGAGTCGTACCATCACGGAGAAGGTGAGAGCTACGATGTTGATGGGCCACAGCGGGCAGAAGCAGGACAGGATGGCCAGGATCAGGTAGTCCCTTGGCTTGGATCCGTCCACAGCGGCCTCTGTGATTGCGCTGGGCTGGCGGGTGAGCGAGGGCCTGGGCGAGCCCGCCGCTAACGAGCCGGACCGGCTGCCCAAACGAGGCCGACCATTAGCATGGCCGCCTGGCTTAGCGTACAGCTTGGGCGACACAGAGGGCGCTGTGGGAGAGGAGTCGACCATCACCGGACCGATACCGTTACCTGGAGGAGAAGAACGCAGCAAAGAGGAAGTGGAATGAACTTTAATACCAAAAATGCTTCAAAAATACATTTTATATTAACAAGTAAATGACCTCATTATATTGGGATGACTCATTAGTTTTAGTTTCATCATGAGACGTTGGTTTGAGGTACTAAGTTTGACACAGGGCCGCAGATTTAGGTTAAACACAGGAACCACCTTAAGGCTCTGACATATTCAGTTTATATAGTGCTTTACTACGAACGAATCTGTAATCAAATTTGCTAAAGTACGTTGGTCCTCTGTCGCTGCTGACAGTCATTTCCAGCTTAGTGTTAATGATTAAATTACTGTCTTTAATTATTGTCTCAAGACACCAGATATGTTCTTCATCATTCCTCTCTGCACAGCTCTGGTCTAGTCCAGACTCTGCACTGTGGCGAGCACATCCTACCGCTGCGTGCTTCTCAAACCGTGTGGTCCCGCCCACCGCCTGTTGATGCTCCTCAGGTGGAGACAGTTCGGTGGTGGTGTATGCAGTTTAAATTGTGGTAAAAGAGTCACATTGAACCACCTCTGATTGGCACTGTACTAAGGAATCTGTGATTGTAAGTTGTGTAGATATGAGAGATAAACACGCTGTGCACATGGCTGCAGAGGATATTGTGCACAGATTGGCCTTTACTGGTGACACCATTTGATATTTTGAGACAATCAGGTTATGATGACGAGATGGTTATGTTTCTAAAAGTACAGCACACTGTTGTCTACCACTTCAATTAAAATGGCTGCAACTAAAACTGATTAAATATAGAAGCAGGACGCCACTGACTGAACTGCTGGTCAGTTTTGAGGAACAGGAAATATGTTGAAGCAACAGATTTATAATTGTTAGCAGATTAGAAGATATGATTTCATTAACATTTAAGTTTATTAACAGAGGTTGCACAGCCTCAGTTGGCTGGAACATCTGCACATCAATCATTATTTCTGGAAGAGAAGAAAACAGATATTTTCTTTACTGGTCTCCATGTTTTCGCTGATCACCGTCAGGTGCTCAGGTGATTGTTTGGCCTCGGGAGCGTCTGTCGTCGAGGAGGGGGCTTCCTGCTCAGCACTGGCTGGTTGAGAAGTCACGGTGGCGTGGTCGGCTTCTGTGGCTTCCGGCTGCGTGCTGATTGGCTGCTCGGGCTGCTGTGTCTCCTCCATGCTGCTGGAAGGCTGGGGGGCGCTGGGACTGGTGGCCATTGGACGGTGAAGGCAAAGCAAAGTGTTGAAGAAAAGCTGATGGCAGGGCTCGCTCTGAAAAAGATTGAAGAGATCAGATGTTGTTACAGTGATGATAGTTTTGGTTGTTGATCAGCTGATGAGAACTGGATCTGAACTGTAGTCTTACATACAAAATGTACACCGTTACCAAAACAGCAGAAAGGTGCCGAACACGAATAATGCTAGGCTTCATAATCCAGCTTTCATGATTTAGCATTGTGCTGCATGGTTTTAGAAGCTCAAGCAACACTATGTATAAAGATGGCAGTTAGCACCTAGCTGCTCCACCTATGCTAGCCAGTTTTTTGAAGTGAAGCCAGATTCACACAAAAAACTTCTGTAGATTATTTTTTTAATTTGCTGTATAAACTGTTTCAGATGTAATATTGGATGTAATTCAAGTTCTTGTTGCCAAGAGATATCGCAGCTGTCAGAAATTCATGATGTTCAGAAACAACCAGGAGGCTGTAATTAAGTTTTTTTTCTCCCTTCATATGCAGCTGTGAGTATCAACAAATATGTTCCCTTCAAACAGTATTTAACACCATTTAAAGTGATCAGTGTTACCGAAGTAGCAAAGGAAATCCGGCCCATACTTGAGCCAGATGTTTAATTAAAACAGGGTTGCAAGAATGATTAATAAATTAGAGTCAGGAGCAGAAAATCTCCTAGCTTTGATGTTAACATCAGAAGGAGCAATACTACCAATCCCACTGCGAATCAACAGCCTGAACCTTTATGCCTTTTGTTGGTCTATGCAGCTGAATGTAATAAAACCTTTACAAACCTGGAAAATGTTCTGTAAAAAATAGTTTGAGGGATCATCATGAAGTAACTTTCAAACATTTTTAATGACTGTCTCACATTTTCTGGCGATGGTTGTTAATATTTCATTTACAGATTTCAGCGTCAGTTCATTTGAGAAAGATTCAGTTTTACAAATCAATAAACCCACAGTGTTCCTGCAACACATGGCTGTTTTTTTCTGTTTTTAATAACTGCAGTGTTATTAAATGCAGCGTTCTGAGTCAGGAGGTTTCGCAGAGAATATTAAACTGCTGCGCTGTAATGAAAACACAGTTTTGCTTTGCTTTGCTGTCAGAAACAGACGTCTCTTTCAGGTCCCCGCCGTCGAACGAAAGTGAAGCTGCAGACGACAGCAAGGGCGGAAATGTGCAGAGAGTTCACACACTCGGATATTAACTAACAAATTGAGAGCTGAGTTTGAGTTTCTTCAGGATTTCTTTGACAATAAGAAATGAAGACACCGACCGAGAACACAGATGAATGGTTTTTACTCCCAAGGGCATATATTTAGCAGCTCTTCTGGAGCTTTTTATCGTATTACATGATGTTCTTCATTTTTCTGAATACTTTGAGGACTTCTTCTAAAAGCTGAGATGCTTTAGATGCAGTTTTTTACATTTTCTGGTACAAATGAAAGCTCCAGAACAACTACTAAATGGACTTTTTTGGTGAGAATCCATCCTACTGCTTTCAGTTTGTAACTAGTGCGACAGTTCTGAGAAAACCGAGACAAATTATACATCAAAACGTGTGGTTCGATCGGGAATTATGTACTGTGACTTTTGGTAGCGTTTCAAGTAACCATGGTGATGTAAATGGCGAAAAACATCCTATAGAAAATGAATGGAAAATGACCAAACCCACTCGTCTTTGGAGCCACTCAGCTTCGTCAAACTTTAACATAGAAACATGGTTGAAACTTTAAACAGGTCACAAGACTTGATGCTTTTTTTAACATCTGTATTTTCCCAGCTGTTATAGTTTTTACACAATCGCTGTTTACGTTTCATGACATTTTTTGACAGTTTCAGATTTTTAATAAAGGTCAAGAATTAAATTGAATCCCAATTTTAAGACAACATGGAAGAGAGAAGTCATCATTATCTGCAGAGGAAGATCATGTGAAAAGAGTGAGAGCCCCATAACAGCGACTGGTCAAACTGCTTCTCCAATCAAACTCTGAAGCTGATTATTCTTAAATCACTGAAAGTTAAAAGCTGGAATTACGACACAGACGAGTCAGAAAACTGTAGAACACGATTGTTTCTTTTGGTTCTAAGAAAAAGGGCAAGAAGAAGAAGAAGAAGAAGAAAGTTTCTTCTACCTCAGGCACAAGATTATTTATAATGCAGATCTATGTGTGTGGGTCGATCAGGTTGTTGACTCAACAGTTTCTTGCTGCCAGCTGCTGAGGTTTCTGGCTCCTGGTGGTTTGTGTAGGTGGACACGAGCTCCGTCTGCATTTGTTTCAAGTCCCACTGGTCACTGATGGAGTTTAGACTCGCATCACTGAACGCCTCGTTAAACTTAGGCCAGAATAACGTGATTCATCAGCTGCAGATATTAACAGACTGAGGCTGTTACAGTGGAAGAGAGAAGGGGGATATTGTGTTGTCAGTCATGTCTCTGTTGGATGAACACTGGTAGTGAATAATTACAGACTCTGTGGTTGCACCTGTTGAAGCTGGTTCTTAAGATTTCTACTGAGCAAACAAAAACTAATGACTGCTGATCAGTTTCAGCAGATGAGTCCGTTCATCAATCCATCTGTTTCCGTTTCAGAGCTTGACAGCCTTGTACCGGAACTGTGTCGCTACGGTAACTATAATAACGTTCATGGGTTGGTTAGGTTTAGGAGAAGATGATGATAGAATAAGCACTTCCTCAACATTAAACGATCTTTGTTGTCATGGTTACTACAATAACAACGTTGAACGGTCACGGATAATAGAAAACATGAGAATCTAACACACCGTTCTCATGTGTCACATTCATCCGTCCACCACCACCTCCTCCTCCTCCTGACGTGGACTCCCTCTCTTTACACTCAGTCACCGACACGTTGCCCTTTGCGCTGTCATCATCACTACGACCACTAGATGTCGCCTAGCAACATCTTCCATTCTTATTGTCAAAGAAATCCTGAAGAAATTCTAACTCAGGTCTCATGGTGACCTGGCTGAGAGCGGGAACTGGGTCTGAAGGGGTTAAAACTGTCTCAGAACACGTCTTTATTTTTACCTTTAATTTGCAGGAAATTCCATTTTTTTTCCACTTAAAAAAGGAAATTATTATAGAAATGATTTATATCATTTCAACATAAATGATACTGAAATCATTTTACAGATTAATTTAAAATGTATTTATGTTACAGGTATTTAAGTGTAGTTTTATTTTACGGCGTCATTAAATGAGCAGATCACTGAGACACTCAGGCCTGGAGGACAAACAGCTTCTTAAAGAGCAGATCTGGAGGAAAGCTCTGTCGCAGCACCTGCACACTGAATATTGTAATGATCTGCCACGACTCGATTGATGACTTGTACCCCCCTCCACCCCCCCCACCTCCTCCTCCTCCTCCCCAGGAGACCAAACACTGCAGAGCTACTTTGCTCTGTAAAAGCTGACAAATGCAGAGTGTTTTCTTACAGAGCTCCACTCTGTATTCCTGGATGTGTCCTGATCACTGCAGTTCTTCAGCAGCCTGAGGCGCTTTGAGCTGCAGTGAAATTTAAAACACGTTAGAGGAGGACCTCTGCAGAAACCCTCCCCGCTGTAGGGACCAGTGAACTGACCTTGACGCCCTGTTAACATGGAATTAATGCATTAATTAATGTGAGACAAGCATGAAGAAAAGAAATGCATATATTTGATGTCAACTCTCAACATGTCACTCTTTTTTTTAATTCACAGAGATCCTGATTGACAGATGTGCCGAACTCCATCAAACTGTTAAATACAGTCATTTTTACAGATGTGTTAAAACTGTTGGGGACATTTAACTGACATTTCTTTTAATTTGCTGTAAAATACTGAAGCCCTGAAAGGCAAGTTAACTTTTTTTTTGTCAGGATCATTTTTCAAAAATTTTTTTTCATCTGTATAAAACATCCGAGAGAGAAAACAAAAGAAATCTTAGAAAAATTATCCAAAAAAAATGTTTAACTTGCCTTTCAGGGCTTCTGTAGAAAACCTGAGGTTTTCTTTACCAACTTCAAAGTTCATTATTTTTCTCAATTTCCCTCAATATAGAAACGCAGAAGTCTCCTGGATAATTTAACTGTTCTGTAACTTTGAGGCCTGATCCACTGTTTGAATTATTTTGAGTCTGTTTCTCTGCGTTTTTTCCTGATCTATATCTCTAAATACTACACTACCCACGAGCCTCAGCTGCTGCTGCTACAGATAAGAATACAGAGGTTTAAATCAGAGCTGTGGTGAATTCTGTTCCAGATCAGTTTTCTGTACTGAGCAGAGCACCTGTGAGCTCTGTGATTGGATGTCTGTTAGTGCAATGCACTCTGGGAGTAGTAGCTGACTTCAGTTGTTTTGTTTTCTAACACAGTTGTTCGTCTTTTGTCCTGATGAAGGCGTTTCATGTTCAGAGAGAACCGTCAGTCACCAAGAACATGATGAGACTTTTCATTCAAGAACCAGGAGAACCCAAAATAACTTTGACAGTGTCCTTGTAGAAACTATTTTAAGGCCTGTGTGCTCAAAATGAAACATTAAGCCTTCAGATTAAAGCTCCTCCAGTGTAAAGGTCTGTGTCCATGTGTAGTGTGATTATAGATCAGCTCTAGCTTCTATATTAATACTGTGAAAGTATCAAAGCCTCAGTCCACAGAGAAATGCACACAGCCTGTATTCAGAAACTGAGCCTTAAAACCAGCCGTCAGGACTTCTGGAACTTTGTGATGTCACAAAGAAGCAGTCACCAAGCCCCGCCCACCTGGACCCACCATCCAAACCTTTACAGGATTCGGTTTCTCTGAATGTTTACATTGGATCACTCAGAAAAAAGTCAGTTAACATGCAAATACAATGTCTGTCAGAATCAAAAGGATTTTAAGAAAGTTTAGTACATTAACATTAACCTGGTTAAAACAGCACATAAAATTATATTTTATTATGAATAACAAGATTTTCTTTCAATATGTTCTTCCCACTGAAACCAAACCTTGGCCTCTGTGGTTGTGATCAACAGTTGGTTGTTTTTTGAGGGTAAAATTTTTAAGATTTAACCATTTCCATGTTGATCTAGTATTTCATTTTAAACTTTTACTGTAGCTTTATTCTGAAAGCGTTAACATGTATTTGTTGTTTTCATGTGATTTAGTCTTTACATCCACTGTCTTTGTTAGAGACTGGGACACGCTAACGTCACTCTTTGGTTCTTCCTGTCACTCGGTGCTGATCAGAGGGTCAAAGGTCTTTAATGAAAGGCTGAGGAGTCGATAAAGGTGTGGGGGGTCTAAACAGCCGACTTCTACAGCAATTAACCTGCTGTTGCTTTCGTTCTCTTTCAGGAAGTGGCAGGATTAATGTCGGCTGCATCGAGCAGCGTCGGACACTTAGGAGTCAGGGGGGAAAATTAGCAGGAAGAGATGACCATTAAAACCATCACAGTCTGCTGTTTGGAGCTCTGCAGCAGCAGCAGCAGCGTAATGACTCGGTGCTTTGATAATGTTTATTTCATGCTTGGGTTAGATCGACAGTTAGCTGATGCTCTGACTTGATACGGACCTTTTATTAAATACTGGATAATGGTCAGTGTCGTCCATCTCCCCCTCACAACAGAGTCAGTCTGTAAAACCCACAATGGAGTGAATGTTGTTTGGCCTAATTAATATCTGTATTTATGAACTTATTTAGGTAGTTTTAAGAATAAATCACATTAGGAGACTGAAACTCTCAATTGAAGAGTCAGGTTTTCTTAAAACAAGAGACAGATTTTGCCAATGACCCGGGGCCACTGGGCAGAGTCGGCAACTTTCTCACATGTTGGGGTTTATCTTAGAGCCACAAGCAAAGTGCTGTAAAGCCAGGAGAGAAATAAAACACACACTCACACACACACACAGAATTACACATGCACACTGCAGAGGCAGGCGCTTTCTCATCAGCAGATTTAGAATCTGCTCCGACCATCTGTTACAGCACCGAGAGAAACCTTCACAGAAGAGACACAAAAACGTCTTAATGCAGCAAAACCCTCATTAACATTAATTCAAATTCAGCAGCTGGAGGGGCGTGTCTATGTTTGATTGACAGCAGGTGGATGGGTGTGTCTATGTTTGATTGACAGCAGGTGGATGGGTGTGTCTGTGTTTTATTTGAAGTGTTGATCCATCAGAAGATATAAAAACCATCTCAGTGTAGTTTTACATCTCCTCTCTCAGGCTTCTCTCTGCAGCTCTAGTAACAACAGGTCGGTGAGCCAATCAGAAGAGAGGAGGCTCTGAGCCTCTCTTCTGATTGGCTGACTGTTTTCTGAGTGATCCAATAAAAATACAGCAGATTTCAGGTAAAAACACTCAGAGAAACCAAATCCTGCAAGGTTTGGATGGTGGGTCCAGGTGGGCGGGGCTTGGTGACTGCTTTGTTGTGACATCACAAAGTTCCAGAAGTCCTGACGGCTGGTTTTAAGGCTCAGTTTCTGAATACAGGCTGTGTGCATTTCTCTGTGGACTGAGGCTTTGATACTTTCACAGTATTAATATAGAAGCTAGAGCTGATCTATAATCACACTACACATGGACAGAGACCTTTACACTGGAGGAGCTTTAAACTGTGTCGCCTGTTTTGTGGGTTGGGCTTTATTTTCTGTCAGAAAAAAATTCTAATCAAAGAGAAAAAAAAAAGTTTTAAAAGGAATAGCTCAAGATTTCAGGGAATGACTCATGTGTGAGTCTTCAGCACAGACCATCAACGTGACTGAAACAGCCAAGTCACCGTTTCAACAAACTCTAATCCACAATAAAACACACCCTCTGTTTCCTCTCCGTCACCGTTATTAGAACCAGTTTAGAGATTTTGATAATCCACCAATTGAATAGTTAATTTTTCAAGCTAAAATTGCTGTTTTCAGCCTCTTAAATATAAAATAAATAAATATAAAATAATAATATAAATAAAATAATAAATAAATTTAAAAATATCCTGCTTTCTGTTTCACATCATGAATACATGAATTAAATCTTTGGCTTTTGGACTGTTGTTCAGACAAGACGTCACCCTGAATATATTTTCTCTCTTTTTGACATTTTATAGAACTAAATTATTAATTGAGAAAGTAATTAAGAATTAAAACAGTTAAATAAAATTGTGTATCAGTATTTTCACTATTTAGACAACTGATTCTAGAGAGGGTTTGTCTTCTTTATTCTGATTATTGAGTAATCGAAGAAAAATACCTTTTATTTGCAGGTTCAAGCTGCTCTTGTATTTTTTATATCTTTGTAAATTGAATATTTTCGTTAGTCGGAAAACGCAAGACATTTGATGATGAAAATAATCATGAGTTTCAGTCTTGTTCTGATGTCATGTATTTCCACCAAGTCTCACAGGGTTTTCTAGAAACATACATGAACAGGTAGACGACAAATATGCCACAAAGATTCCCGTTTGTGTTTCTGTTGGACGGAGATTCAACCTCGAGGCAGCAGAGCTTTAAAACTGGGACGTAACACCATGAAAGCAACATGACTCCAACGGTATTATATACATAATTAACACACACTGATGCATGAGCATGTCTGACATCATTTCTCTCTCTCTCACACACACACACACACACACACACACACACACACACACACACACACACAAATCAATCTAAATTCACCAAATGCATCAGCATCTCAGGCAGACAAAGGAAAGGGGAGAAATCAGGATGGAGGTGTGATGCAGCCTGAGCTGAGGGCAGCGACACACCCACAGAGTTCCTGTAGCAGCAGCAGCAGCACATGTTTTTACAGACAACATGTGAAAGAAGGAGATTTTCTCACCACAGCGGCCGGGCGCTCACTAAGCTCTCACCTGGTCCTAGTCCACGGGAAGCTGCAGGCTGATGGTCATTTTGACTCTGCAGAAGATACAGGAGGTAAAATCCAGTGATGTGAGACGGAGCAGTGGAACTGAGGGATGAAAAAAAAGAAAATTCTGATACACGATTCTGGATTAAACACCCTGTTGAACCTATAAAGAAAAAATGGTGGAATTGCCTTTCAGCTTTTTCCTTGATATTGTTTTAGTGTTATTTTGATTTCTGATGATGCAGAGTGGTGGAGCGTCGCTGCAGCAGCTCTCTGTCTGTTCCACTGCAAGAGGTAAAAGGGAAGGGAGGGGCGCTTTAAGACTCTGTGTGTGTGTGTGTGTGTGTGTGCAGGAGGCAGCACTTGCAGTACAGTTACTGCTTCTCTCCCATCTTCCACCAGTGTGAAGCTATCTGAAGTTGAAAGCACTTTCTGTCTATTATTTTCAAAATAAAAGCATAGTGGGTTCTGCAGGGCTGGATTACCAACTGTGTGCTTGATATAACACGGGCCTTCAGGTGGGACCATGTATGATTCACTGAATGGGCACAGGCCCAGGGGCCCCTGGATCAGAGCCTCATAGATGTTATTGTCAACAATTCTTGCTGGGAAGTCGATCAATTAACTACAAGGAGTGATTCTCTGAATTAAACTACACAAACACAATGAGTGTTGTAATGTATTTTGATTGTATAAAAAGATCATGAAAATCCAATTTCATTAAAACAGTTTTTTCTCTTTGTAAATTTACATTTTGTATTTGTCTTTGTGCGTTAAAGACATACTCTTATTTTGGAGGAAAATATGCCAGTTTCCTGTACTGTCTTGTTTAACTGTGGGCAACTTGCTGCACCTGTTTCTGTCCCCATCCTGCTGCGTTTCTGCTGACGGAGCACAAACCCAACAATGCACCAGTTAGAACCTGTAACTCCTCATTCACCACTGGGAATATTCACACGTATCATTATCAAAATTATTATTATTAAGACGCTTAAATGAGGGTATATAGTATTCATGTTAGTACCAATGTTAACAGTGTGTATGAATGAAATACTCATCCCTGCACGCGTCCAACAGCCATGCAAAACATACTGACTGTTTTTCATACGTGGAGGTGGATCAACATCAGAAACACTTCTTGTTTTATTTTGAAAGATTTGACCATAAGTGTTGATATGATATTATGTCTGTTTTGATTTGAGTGATACCATGTGTTCACTGCCCTCCTGTGGACGCAGGTACGAACTGCAACACTACATTTAAATGTTCCAGTGTGGACTCCAGTCTAACATGTTAAAGTTGTTCACACCAGCAAGAAAATATTTACATTTTGGAAACTGAAACTTAAACAGATGTACAACTTACTTAGGAATAATTAAATAAATGGCCATTTTACATGTTCTTCTTGTTTATTAATGCACGAAGTTTTGTCAGATGTGATTTGTTTACATTTTTCGAAATGGGGGCTTTTATTCTGAAAGAACACATAGTACCGACACAAAACAACATAACGGTTTCCTGTTTCGTTTGTTGTTGTCTGGTTCTGTTTCCGGTGTAGCCGCAGCTGTTTTCGGCTCCAAAATGACCAAACTCCAGCTGCTGAACGCTTACCTGACGGAGCGGCTGACCGTGGTGGTGAAGGAGATCCTGGACGTGGTGGAGGACACGGTCACCGAGTACCGGGAGGAGGCCGCCAGAACCAAGCGGGAGAACGAGAGCCTGCGGAGGCAGCTGCGGGACATCCTGCTGCTGGAGGCCGAGACCGAGTGGCTGAGTAAGGGCCGAGCTGTCCGGCTAGCTCCGTCAGAGCGCCGCTCCAAACTGCCCTGGAAAACACGTCCAGTTAAAGGTTTCAAAGGGATTTAACGCTAAATATTGTCAGAAACACAGATTTCAAAGTTGTAAAGATTCGTTCAAGACTCGTTTTTACATTCGGCTTCTGTTAAATAAACGCACTTGAGTTAAATTTTAAGACAGACCTGATTTTATTTAATTTTTGCCGGTTTCTTCCGCTTTTCCAACAAGCCAGAGTCGACAGTTTTGATTTGGTTTTTGAAAAACAGCGATGGTTTTTGGCGGACCGGTTAGCTACACGCCGTATTCAACTTTAGAGTTTGTTCATACAGAAATCTGTTTGTGTACAGGATTATTTTTAGGTCTATATTTTATATCAAACAACTCAGCGTTAAACTGGCAGATTATTGCATGGAGTTTGGTGTGACGTTCATCCTGCGCAGGAGAATTTATAGTTTAGGGAAGTGATGATTAACTGGCAGACTACAGTCCGGGTCTGAATCCAAAGAGGATTTTTTATCATTAAAATTATAGTAAGCTTTATTTTGATGAGATTTTTTAACAGACGCGGCGTCATCGGCGCGGCAGAGCTGACCAATCAGGGGAGAGCTCTGTGGCAGGCAGTGACAGATATAAACAGGTGGCTTGTTCCAGACGTTGAGACTGTGTGTGTATGTGTGTGTGTGTGTGTGTGTGTGTGTGTGTGTGTGTGTGTGTGTTCAAAGAGGAAACGCACAAATGCGCCTTTATACTTCCTCTAACGAGGCCTCCATACCTGTCTGTGGCAACATGATTACACAACAACCTGTCAAGACAGATGCACAGCGAAGAGTCTCTCTGGTAGAGTTCTGAAGACAGAAATCTTTTTATAAAAATTAATTTTTTGAAGACCTTTAAAAAGTATCTGCACAACTGAGGGAAAAGTACTGAAGCTGAGAAAGGCCATAATAATATTTTTTTTATCCGGTTATTGCAAGATAACAAAGCTCGTTATCCCGGGATTATGAGATATTATCAGAAGAAAACGACTTTTTCTCATCCAGATGTCATGTTTGCTCCTGATAATATCTCATGATAATATCTTGTTATCTCAGGATGAAAAAAAGTTCTCTCTTGCTAATTGTTATCTTGTTATCTTGATGTGACAAAAAAAATTAAATCTTTTTCTCCTGATAATATCTCGTTATCTCAGGATAATGAGCTTTGTCATCTTGAGATAATGGGATAAACTATTTGCGAGCTCGGCCTTTCTCGGCTTTCTACAGAAGTTGCATGAAAGGTTGAGGTGTATTAACTCCGTCTGGAGGATGTTGAGTTAGTGAAGGGACACACCGGAGAAACAGCGAGGAATCCAAATGTGAAGTTGATATCTGAGCTGAAACAGTGGGCTCCTTCAATAGTCCTTTAGTCATCAGTCTGATTCTGTGTTGCAGGATCCACCAGGTCCAGTCTTGGTTTTGTGGCTCCTGAGCAGCAGTCCAGTGACCCGGAGCTGAGGCCCTGCCCAGAGGAGCCGGACTCCACCCTGAAGCCCCGGCAGCCTCCGGCTACCACGGCCAACCAGACTCATGAGCAGGTGGTGTCTGTGCAGCTGCTGTCGGTCCAGAAACAGAGTCCTCCTCCCGGACCCATCCTCCTCCCGGGGGACGAGGAGCCGGCCGAGACCTGGGAGCCGGTTCTGAAGCCTGAGCCTCAGCAGGAAGTGATGAACAAGGCGTCACCTGTTCGCTCTCACTCCTCCCTGAATCCTCCGCCCGCCTCGGGCCCCATAGTCCATGTGGAGGTTCCAGCGCTCAGAGAGGAGCCGCAGGTTCCTGCTGTGATCAAAACCGAACCCGAGGACTTCAAAGTGACCGAACCTGAAGGTCACACGGACTCTCTGACGGCGACCGCACTCACTCACGCCACACAGGAGGAGTCCGGCTTCAGGAGCAGCGATGCAGACAGGACGGTGGTGGTGGTGCGTGCAGACCGACACGACGCTCATCGAAACAAGGCGTCTTCTCAGGAGAAGCTGACGGTCTCGGTCGATGATGTCACAGTCGCCGGTTTTCCCCCTGAGCTCGTCCATCGCTGCCCCCGCTGCGGCGAGGCGTTCAGCCAGGCCGCCAGCCTGCGCCTCCACCTGGAGCAGAAACGGAAGACCTACGCCTGCGAGTGGTGCTGCAAGTCCTTCGCGCAGTCGGCGGACCTGCGGCGCCACCTGCGCACGCACACGGGCGAGAGGCCGCACCGCTGCACCTTCTGCTCCAAGAGCTTCAGCCAGAGAGGAAACCTGAGGCGCCACCTGAGGATCCACACGGGGGAGCGGCCGTACAGCTGCCCGTACTGCTGCCGCACCTTCAGCGACGGAGACACCATGAAGAAACACAAGCGCACGCACTCGGGAGAGAAACCGTACCGCTGCGTCCAGTGCTCCAAGACCTTCACCACCTCCAGCGGCCTGCAGATACACCTGAAGAAGGACATGTGCTTCGTGGCTAACGCCTGATTGGTCGGACGCCGCAGGGAGGTGGAGTCACTTAGCAGAAACATCCGCAGACGAGCTTCCTGTTTGAAGACGTCGAGCAGCAGGGGGTAGAAAACATGTTGGGACATTTTCACTAGAGCTGAAACAATAAGACAGAAAATAATCAGCTGTTTTGATCAATTAGTCGATCAATTAGTTTTTATGTAAAAATACCAAAACGTTTTAGTTCCAGCTTCTCACTGTATTTGATGATAAACTGATGAAAACTGTTACTATTTTCTGACACTTTACAGATTAATTAATTAATCCATCAGTTAATTAATTAATTGAGAAAAGTAGTCATAGAAGTAAAATCAAGTATTTAGTAACTTGCTGAGAACTTTCCTGACATGTCGCTGTGATTTGAAGTTGAAGACACGAAAACAACGTCACATTGTTGGTTTGTTTTCTGCGGCGGAGCGTTCGGGTCACATGAGGAAAAATCTGAAATTACAAGAATACAGTTGTAATTTTGAGAATAGAATCAGAATATTTCAAGAAAAAAAGTCACAATATGAGAATAAAGTTGTAATTTTAGGTTCTGTGTCATTTTAGAGGGAAACAGCAGAAGCTTTAAAACGAGGGACGTGGAGCATCATCATCATCATCATCATCATCATCATCATCATCATCAGGACATTGAAAAGATTGTGAAGCAACTGAGTCTGTTCTATTGTTAGACAAACAGCAGCTGCCAGTGACCGTCCTCTCACTCGTTTGATTGGTTGTTTATAATCGTCCTAAAAATTTTACATTTTTAATCCTCGTCATATTAAGATTTTAATTCTCGAATTTTCAGATTTCTATTTTTTCCCTCAGTGTGGCTCTAACGCTTCGTCGTAGTTTTCTACCCCCTTTGTGCAGAAACTCGTCTACTTCATCATGAGGATGCGACTGAGCGTTCAGGTGGGGGCGGAGCTGTCGCACCTGGACAGGCAGCCAATGACGAGGAGTCCAGGGAAACTGTTTACCTGAATGGGACACGATGGAGTCGTGTTTTATTTGGCAGCTGCACAGTTGCACTGACTGACATCATCCACGCCTTCATATTAATTTATCTATTTATTTACGAGGACGGACTGACGCGTCCTGCCGGATGAAGACGTGTGCAGAGGATGTCAAAAACAAGATCCACATCAGAAACATGGACAGTCATCGCTGAAATAAACTACATCATTCCTACAATACATTTCACTGAGCTGCCACTTTATGAGGTACACCCCCACCTTCCTACAGACTCTACGGCCCAGGCAGAGCTAGATCAGACAGATCAGTGATACCTTATTGATCCCAGTGTGAAAAATAATCCACAAGTGACGTCGAGAGGACGACAGATGCAGAAATGAAGGATCAGCTGTAAAACCATCGTCTGCATCGTCAGAATTTGATCCCGTCTCAAAGAGCACAATCAATAAATTATCTCAGCTGTTTGAGACGAGTTTAGGGAACGGCCGACTCAAGTGCTCATGGGAAATCCTCGCTGTGACAGCAAAGCCTCTAAAGGTTGAAATCAGCTGTTTCCACCTCTGCACATCTGGTTGTTTTATCTCTATCCAGACACTCGGACGCGTCGCGCCGCTGCTACAGTCCAATGAAAGTGATGATTGATCCACATGTGACGTTAACCGGGTCGTGACAGAGCAGCGACGTGTCCGACTTCCTGTCTGAGCTGGTTTTAATGTGAACACGCCGACGATCAGGATCCGGTCGTACAAAACACCTTCAGTTAAGATTTTCCTTAAAGTCTGAGTGAAAGTTTCCTTAAAATAAAAACAGTTGCAAAAACACCCTTAAGTTTTCTCCTCAAGGTTTCCCTCAGAAATATTCACTGAGGTATTTAAGCTTTTCTCCTTCTCTTAGTCTTTAACTTCAGGAATCACTTAACGTCAGTCAAACCGCTGAAAAAAGCCCTTAGCAACTAAAGTTCACCTGCTTCTCAAGGTCTCATCAATGATAACAGGTCGGCCTATCACAGGTGCTAATGGCAGCAAATAAACGGTCTCCATGGAAACAGTAGAAATTTCCTGCTGTAAAATGTCTTTCACTGCTGTAAATTACTTAATGAGTTTCAATAACAGGAAACCTTTTAAATTATTCTGTGCAACACCCTTAAGTGAGAGGAGAAATTAAACCTTAAGTGTTAAACTGAAGGTGTTTTGTGCAACTGGTCCCCTGGTAAACAGACGATGACGTCATCGCTTTGTCTCATACAGGCAGCAACAACAACAACGTAAAGAGGTCAGAGGTCAGAGGTGTACCTAATAAAGTGGCAACTCATTGTTGACATTGATAACATGGAGGTATTTAAAGTCAAACACATGACGATGTTTGTGGTTCAGATGTTTGAAAATGTGACTTTTCAGAGACTGAAGCGTCACGTGATCAGCGGCGGGCGGTTCAGCAGCAGCAGACGACCACTTCCTGTCCAGGTGACAGGTGTGCGTTTGATGTAGCAGGTGCAGCTGGAAACTGTGCTCTGTTTCTGTGGGCTGCTTTTCCAGACGAGAAGAGACTCTCCTGCGGCTGCTACAATACTGAAGATACAATAATATATTATTATTTATTTTCCTCTCGTAGATTTTATCAGTGTTAGACGGCCTGATCTCGCTCCTGCAAACGCTTCAGAGGCAGTGATTGTAAAGCATGATGGGAAACTGCTTCAGATTGAGTGACGATTTTCAGAAGAAGAAGAAGCCTGTGAACAGACTGGAGGAGCGGTCAGTGAACGTGACAGAGACTTTTCTGTGTCATTATCAGTATTTTGTATTCATGTGAAACATCTTGGATTTTTAGCCAAAATAAATGTTCAGTGAAACTGTCGTGCCTCCAAAATATTGATTCATTGAACGGTTTGATTTTAAAATTTGTATGTTCACATTTTAAAAGAAAACCTGACTCTGGTGATGTGGACTTTAACTTACTCTTACTTTCAGGCCAGAATTACTTTCACTTTAATTTTATATAAAGTACCAATTATGTTTTTTCCAATTAAAACAATAAATCACATTCTTTTTAAAAAGAAACAGGATCAGATGGAATATCATCTGAATCAATATGAAATAAATAAATGAATAAATACAGCTATGAAATAACGCCTGAAATAAAAAAATTAGGTAATAACTGTAGGAATATATAAATGAATGCAAATAATATACTGGTGAGTAAATAAATAAATACCTATACAAATGAATTAATGATTTATTTCAAAAATGACATTTTTATTTATTTCAGGGGACTTTTATTTTACAATTCCACATTTATTTATTTCTGGAGACTTGTTTCCATTAGTGATATTGAAATGATGGGGCATGGCTATCTCACATTCATTTTTTTATTCATTTATATAGCTATTTATTTATTGATTCATTCACTAACTTTCATATTTACATTTACATTCATTTATATATTTCTACAGTTATTACCTAATTTTTTTTATTTCAGGCGTTATTTCATAGCTGTATTTATTCATGTATATTTATATAATACTGATTTAGATGGAAGTCCATTGGATCAGCTTCATGCACCGTCCAACACTTTGTTCCACAGCAAAACTTCTTTTTTTAACAGACTGAAACAAGAACCAAACTTTAGTCTTGTTGTCGACCGGACACAACTACAAACATGCACCGATAGTGAAGAGACAGGAAGTAGAACAGAGAGAGAGAAAATGACTGAAACATGAGATATAGCATTTGGGCCAATGCAAGGGAAAAAAAGTTTTAAAAAAAAGTTAAAAATAAAAAATATATATAAATATGAAAAATATAAATTAAAATATCGTAAGAAAAAAAATATATTTTTAATTCTCCAAAATAAACTTACTGTAATCCGATTTTTCTTCCTCTGCAACCTGCTGCTGCTGTCACTTTTCTCTCCGGTAAATATCCCCTGACACCAGTAAAGCTTCTGTTTTAGCTCGTGGGAAAATACCTGAACGTGTTTGTTTGTTCACGGAGCGTCGCGAGCTCATGTGAAACCTGTTTTCTCACCTCGGTTCTGTTGCAGTTTCTATTTGTCTTTGAAATCCCGCAGTGAGGCATGATGGGAAGAAAACAGGTGTAAAGAGCACAACTGTACATTTAGTTTTAAAAAGTTGTAGCTGTAAAGTTCATGTAATGTCCCCACACAGGTGTGCTCCCTTGTTCACCTGATGAGAGCTCTGATGTGTTCACGTCCTGTCTGATCAGTAGGAAAGATTCAGTGATCGTCGCCTGACGTGAACGTCCATGTTAGTTGCTGTTCAGCCATCACTGTGTCAGTAAGTGTCAGTCAGAGCTTCACACTCACAGTTATCACCTGGAAGTTCACATGAATTTATTTATTTATCTAATGATATTTACAGGTCAGACACTCGTAACTCTAATGTGACCTGAATGCAGCATCAGGACCACGTGACAACGTGAGCGTTCCCTCACCAGACTGTCAAAATAAAAGTTCAGGTACTGAAACATTCCTTGTTTTGAGCTTCTCAAACATCAGTCTGAAACTTTTATTTGTCACATCTGATACTAAACTGAACTTCTGTGGGTTTGGACTGTTTGACTGACTGTTTTAATTATAATAAACTTTATTTGTACAACACGTTTAACAAAGTTACAAAGTGCTTTACAGAGAGAAAAGAGAAACTGATGAATAAAACTGGGGCTGAGGGACCACAGGACAGTGAGTGAAAGATAACAAAGCAGGAATAATTTACATAAAAAGAGATTAAAATAACATAAGATAATAACAAATGACATAACAAAAACTAAAGTGTAAAAGGCAAATATGAACAAATCTATAATAAACTAGAATCACATCCACGTGTCTGTTTCCTCCACCAAACAGCCAAATTACAGGAAGTATTGTCAAAATAATTTTCTCCTATTGATTTCAAGGTGTATGAAGGTTTATCATGTGCTCATATTTCACAGTTAAACAATTTGCAGGATAAATAAAATGCAGTATTTTAAAATGTACTTCTTTAGTTTAGTATTTTTAAGGCAATAGCCATGATTGTTTTTTTTTATGGAGGGACTGTTTTAGTTTCTTTTTTTAAAAATCACTTATCTTTATTGATTTTGAACATTGTACATCCCTTTTCCAGAGTGGTTTGGATTTATCTTTCAAGTCTTCCTTGAAACAACTTTCTGCTGCTGTTGTAGTACTGTTTTCTGACTGTAGGGGGCAGTATCGACCCACTCCACTGAATTGAACCACAGAATGAGAACAACAAACACAAACTCATTGTTCTGTGTTGAATTCCAAATTTACTGTTGCATTGTACATAAAACACCTGATAGAAATGTAAGAACGACTGTAAAGCACGAGATCAGTGTAAACAACAGTTCAACAATATCGTATAGAAAGCCACATTCATACATTCAGTCGTGCATAAAAGATGAACAATAACACTGTAAACAGAAGAATCTTCAACATGAACCGTACCTGAATGTTTCATCATGTCTCACTTCAACACTTTGAATTAGAAAACAGGCAGAGGGAGTATAGAGATATAAAGAAGTATAACAACATATTGCATCATGCAACAACAAGGAAGAACCACTTGTATTGATATATAATCATCATCATCATCATCATCATCATCATGTTCGGTCATGGCAGCAATAAGATGCAGTTTGTTTTTTCACAGTCTCGTTAAGGAGTGCAATAGAAGTGTGATCCGGGCGTTATGGAGCAGAAATCCTGGAGGTTTTAGGGTTTGACCGATATGAGTGAGAATGGACGCTGCTGAAAGTTCAGATTTCCTGTAGATGTTTAATATCTGTTCACTAAACCCCTCCACTGAACAAACAGTGATGTCCAGCTTAGCTAACTCTGGATTTCTCCACACTGACACGATGTTCATTGCACTGTTGTAAAGAGTGTGGAAGGTCGTGTCTTTATCAGCCTTTCCAAAATCAAAAGATAACTTCAAAGGATGCTTTAAACAGTGGGTTTATCTGTTCTAATGTAAACAATCGTTAGCATGTCCGGCTAACTAGCTTATTGCAGTACTTTTAAGGTGTATTAGCATATACAACCACCTATGTTAGCCTAAACTCTGCCCTTTAGCCCACTGTAGCCTATATAGTGAATTTACACTCTAATAACAGTAGCTGTTACTGTTTTGTTCCCCAAACATATTACTCCTCGTCCTAAAAGCTATTTCTCAGGTATTGTTAAAAATTTGGAAAATGCAAACAAATATGAGACATTTTCAACCAACTCATGGATCTAACATTAGCTTAAGTAGCTAGCTATCTGCTAGTGACAGTCATCATTTCAACTGAAAATTAGTAAGAATTTCGATGCTAAACCTGCCACCGTTAGCATTGTTAACTGTAAGATTCTAGAAAGTTAAGACTGAGGAACATTCTACAATGTGTAGACTAATGCTCATAGCAACAGTAACTAAGGGGGGGGTGGGGCTTAGTGAACATTGTATTACAGTTTTCTTGTGAAATGACTGTATATAGTTGTCATTGTGGACCGTGCAGCTTGTGAAACTATTTAAATCAGTGAACATCAAACCTTCTCTGAAACAGGTATTCTCTCACTGTTAGCACCTTTAAAGACCTGCTGAGCCTCCACCTATTCAAACAGGTCAAACCTGGAACATGTCAGGGTCTATAAAACACTCAAAAAAACAAGATTAAACATTTACAGGAAGAAATAAAAGAAATAAATTTACACATCTCTGCAGCTTTTCCAGACTGTTAGTTTTGTTTTGTAGCTGTAATCATGGAGGAACCTCCACCCGATCAGAGGTGGAACACACTGACAAAATCTGATGTGCAACAGAAGCCAAGCACATACGAAGGGTGGAGACCAAAAACAGAGCTAAATGAGCGTGATACTGGACTCGCTCTGTGTCTGCTGCCGTTAAAGGTTCATAAGATTATAGTCAGGGCTGTTCTTTTTTTCCGTTCTTTTTGAATTTTTCTCTTTTTGTGTCATTGGTCAAAAGCAGTAAGCTGTCTTTTCACTGCTGACCTTCCAGGGAAAGCTACCGTAGCTTAGTAGCTGTATTACACCATTTTATTTTACCCTCACTTCTACTACAGTAAACCTTTGTGAAAAGTCCTGAGATTCTCTAGATTCCCCAGGTTCGTGTAGTCCCTAGCGGCAAGGCACCAGCGCTGCCTGTTTTGTGAGGCTGCACAGATGAAATTTGGTCGCTCGCTTTCTGATGTGACCACAGCTTCAGCCTCACAGCGTCTGAATGGACAGACTGATCACGGTGTGTGTTTGATGTTGTTCATTCAACAAGCCAAGGTGCAACACATATGTCCATGCTTATAGTACGAAGAGAAAATGCAGTTTGTTACATTCTGAATGATCTTACTCACATGTAAACTTTGTACAACATGCTTTGGCAATACTACACGTAACTCTGGTCATGCCAGTGAAGCAGTTTTGAAGTGAATAAGTGAGTAAGCTGCTGTTAGTCTCTTGTTGTGTCTCAGGCTGTTTGACTGTCAGCACAGCGAACAGTAATGTGACTGCGTCATGCAAATACACTTAAAATGAAATTATTTGATTGACTCTATAAAGCCCCAGTTTGTGCTTCTCATGAATTCTGATTGTTGATCATTTTCTAAAAGAAAAATATCCAGCAAACTTAACACTTACTGCTGTGCTAACCTGTTTCCCATGTTCTGACTACGTTTCCTCTCCTGGAAGCCAGAAATAACACATCTCCATTTCCTTTTTATGCTAACATGCTAATCTGTATGAAAATATAAAATAATAAAAGCAACATCAATATAAGCAAATATAACTGACAATAAAATGTTTTAGTTTTGGCTCATGTACAAAAACAGCAAGGAGATAAATATTCATCATCATCATCCATCCATCATTAAAAACTCAGCGGTAAGTGTTATCAAACCACCATCTGGGTTTTTCAGAGATTGGCTGCTATTTATTTTTTTGGAAAACAGATGCTTCGCTTTGTGACTCCGGTGTAGTGATGATACATGACAGGCACAAACTGGGAGCTGGTGATATGAAAAGAAGTTCTCCGTCTATGAAGACAAGAGACCAAACTGCAGCACTGACTGGAGTATGTACAGACGGGGGCGCCGTCATGACACCAGATATATAAAACATGAATTTCTCTTTCCCTTTTAGGTAATGACTTTTCACAGCACAATGCACATGAGTAACAAAACAAATCTGTAGGCTGTTGTAGAGAAAAAACATGCAATTTAAAGGTGGAGTAAGCGATTGGACTCTAATACACTTTTGTCAAATTCGGTGAATATCTCCTCACGGTGCGTGAGCTGTAAATGTGGCTCAGACCAAGTAACACAAGATAAGTCCAACTATGGTGGAAAGAAAGGCATAGAGACAGATGCAGAGGTTGCTTTGTTTCTACTTCTCAGGCCCAGATAGCAAAATGAAACTTCTGGCCCAACATATGCTTGAGTTCTTGGTCCGAGTCTGGCCCATATACTTCCACATCTGGACAGGGTTCGGCTATTATCTATTGGAAGATTTTCCATGTGTGCGACAGAATTGGTCCAGATGTGGAAGTAGCATCCAACTATCAAGCTATGAGCTATGAGCCAGATTCGGGCCGTGGAACTGGGTGCATACTGGGCCAGAAGAAAACCAGCATCTGGCCCGAGTATGAGTCGGATTTATTTTTCTATCTTGGGGGGTAACATTAGCTTCACTATGTTTCAGAGCCAATATATCAGCATTGATTTGTCCTGTCCTGTAATGTTTGTGATAGATAATCCCAACAGGTTAGTTAGCAAGCAGGTACCAGTGTGACATTTGTGTCTGGTATCGTTAAATTACTTGCCCAGTGACATTCAGCTGACTCTCTAGTTTGCCAAACATGTTGTTGGTGTGATGTTAGGTACAGGAGCAGGAGAGCTGCAACTTAGCAGCAGCAGCTGTAGCCACAGTTAGCTGTCTCGTTGTTTGCTCTGTATCATGGTATTTATCCGTTTTATAGCTATGAAGAACTAAAAACACAAGTTTGCTAGAACAGTGGATTTATTTGGTTGGATGTATAATTCAAAATGCAATGCTAGGAAACGTTACCTTCCTTGTTAGCTTAGCTACAAAGCTATGGTCCTTTCCTCTGTATCTATACAGCTAACTTTTGCAAGTTTTTACTCTGTTGTGTTTTGGATATTTGTTTGATGTTTGTTTTGCTTCAGCTATGAGAAAGAGTTTTCAGTGTTGTTGCCTTGGAAATGAATTTAGGGGGCGGAGCTTCTGAAGGGGCACTGAAGAGAGAGGTCTACTTGTTTTGCTGTTTCACTTACTCCACCTTTAATTTAGGCCCGAAGTCTGTGATTTGTGTTTCACTGTTGTGAGTTCCACCCCTCATGAGTCCAGTGGACCGGTTTAACCCTCTCATGTGTGTGTGGTCTGGTGTTGAGGGAAGGTGTGATGTTGACAGTGTTGATGGAGCCAACAAGCTTCTTCTTGTGGATGACTCACTGTTGAATAACGAAGGCACACCACCATGCTGCTCCTGCTCCTCTCCGCTCTCCAGCCCTCATGGTGGCTCTTATTATAATACACCTTTCCTCACAACTACTGCTGATTCCTGTTGTGAAGTTGCTCAAATCTGTCCCGTAAAGAAACCAGAGGAACCGTGAGATCCCTGACAGCGACTGTCTGCATGCACGGAGGGTGCTGCAGCGGGGTGGAGGGGGTTAGTCGTGGCTGAAGGTTCTTGGCAGCTCATTGGTCAGAATGTGCCACCTCTCCACCCTGCGGCCCTTGTTCTTCAGGCAGTCCATCCAGTGACGGAGGGCGTCACCCTGGGAGTGACAGCTCAGACAGACGCCACCTAAACACCGTGACAAACAACATGAATCAATCGTGACACTGCACTCGTGTGTCATTCAGTGTTAAATACCCGCAGGTTGGGAACCACTGCTTTATTTTATCACAAGGTATCAACCATAAACTGTAAGTAAGATGGACGTCGCCTCTGTGACGCCACCCACAGGTTTTCTGAAGCTCAGAGTGAGCTGCTCCACTGTCGCCATTTTGGCAGCGGCTGACTCCGCCCCCTAACTCCCAGATAATCCAAAAATTGTCAAAGAGGAGGGGAGTGGCCTGTCACTCAAAGAGGCCACGCCCTCAATTCTCTTTACTTTAGTCCTCAATAAAATGTAAACAGGTGAGTTGTATAAACAGTTGGAGGACATTAGTGGCCATTAGAGGAACTGCAGCTTCTGGTTCTTCACTGTCGAAGCTTCAGTTCTGGCATCAATCCACAAACTCCCAAGAGATTCATATAATGCAAATGTGACTCATCACCACAGGATCCTGCACTGGCTGGACTCAGGTAATAATGTGTCTCTATGGGGATTTTGGTTTTAGCTTCATGCATAAAATCAATAATTTTTTATATGTATGTACATATATTATCACTGATAAAAAAAAAAGGCAACTTACCTTACACATGCTATATATATATATATAATTAATCTGAAGCAGAGCTAAGAAGTGGAGCTGCAGGTCTAACGACCACAAACACTCTTTGTTTCCAAATTTAACGAGAATATTAATTGAACAATAGACAGACACAGTGTCATTATCGTAACTAGAAGAGAAAAGGGAATCAGTGATACAGATGGTAAGAGTGATAAATATGCATTAATACTCTCACAAACATACAAAGGCTTCCACTGAACAGCTTTGCCGGCACTAATGAGCACCATGTGTTGGACCCATTAATATTTACAGCTGCAGCAGCTACAACCCTCCCGACGGTGACCTGAGATTATTCACTCAGACGCTGATCAACCGTAAACCTGCTCCTTCAGAGTTTCACTAAAGGCCCACGTGTCTGAGGACAGTGTCTCTGCACTGCTGGCTTTTCTCTACAACACAAGATGAGTTGTTGATTTGAGGGTCAGTGACCACAATGAGTCGCCCCGCCTCTCACCTATGAAGTCGTTGGAGCGTCCCAGATCGTAGTCCCACACCGTCACCTCCAGCGTCTTGTTGGCCAGCTCCGACAGAGAGATCTCGTAGAAAAACTCCTGAGGTGTTCACACACATGCAGAGACACAGATTTAAAACAGAGCTCAGGTCTGCGAGGTCCGGCGTTAACAACAGTCTGACGGACGCTTCGTTTGTTTTACAGCTGGTGTCGTTATTTGGAGGATAGTCAGTGATAAGTCCGGTGATAGTTCATATCTTCTGCAGATCCAAACCAACAATGAACGTCGTCTACCGTCATGTTCTCTGTGTGTGTGTGTGTCACAGTCTGATATGTCTGACTCCTCTGAGCCATCGAGCTCCTCTCTCGTCCAATAACATCAGGGTTCCACTGGGGAAAGTTCAGGGTTTATTTCCCCAGCTCTGCAATATGTGCAAGTCAACACAACCGTGACACAAAGGTGACCAACGCTTTCCCAGATCCCAGATGTTGAGCTGCTGTTGACTCACTCTGACTGTGACCTGGACCAGAACTGTGATGACCTCGCCAAGAAGAACCAAAGCTGAGTGAAGCTCAACATGTTGGAAAAGAAACGAACGATGGAGGGAACTTATCGTGGTCGAATGTTCCTCAGAGGAGAAAGACAATGAACCCTCTGAGGTCTGAGGGTATTTTCTGGAGTCACCTTTTAAAAGGTTACATATCACATAATGTCCATGTGTTTATATCACAATGTTCAGAACTTTCTCGGCTCTTTCTATAACGACGCCCCTTTTTGACTCTATGTAAAAAGATCATTTGGCCCAAATGTGGAAAAACTGAAATTCTCCAAATGACTGATGTGGATGAATTAAAACCTCAGAGGCTTAAAGCAGCTGAATACAGTGTCCAGCTTTTCTTGTTAAGTTCCTGAGCCTTTTTAAAATACGTGAGGTCACGTCCTCAGTAGGAACCAATGGGCTCGCAGCCACAGACAGAGGAGGGAAGTCAGGACGTCCTCAGAGACGGACTGACACATTGTTGGTTTGGGTCCGAGCATGGGATTTGATGAGCGTATGAAGACACAGTTGTCTTCTCAGTAACAAAGGTAAAAGGCAGAACTCATAGAGTGGAAGGAGTGATATCTGTGTGAACGAAGAGGAAGTTGGAGGCAATAAAAAGAGGCTTTAGAGAGTTTAAAATATTTTTCTCTTCAGTTAAATGAACAAAACTGACAGAACGACACATTTACGGCGTCAAGTCATTATTCATTAATGAGGCAGAAACGCCGGAGAGAGGACGACGGGTGTTCGGCTCATCTTACCTCATTGAATTCAGGGTTGAGGGTTTTTTTCATCACTGCTGTTTTGTGCTTGGATTTCTTCTGTATGTCGGGCTTCAGGTATCTGACAGGACAGGTGGAGAAGGAGGGGAAAGCAGGTTAGTTTAATCCGCCTTTGATCTACACCTGAAGCGAGTGGAGCCAGTGAAACAGCAGATAAAGAAAGGTAATACAGGAGAAGTCCCTGTAGGCTGAGATATTTCAACTCTAGCAATCAAATCTAATTAATAATAATAACAACAATAACTTTTATTTAGAGGTGCCGTTCATGACACTCAAGGTCGACTTACAGAAAAACAACAACAAACAAGTCACAAAAAATATTAATAAACTGCAAATTACAAGAGTCTCCGTCTAATAAAACTTTTAATACTTCTCTTTGTATTTGGTTAAATAGAATTTAGATAAAAAACTATAATATCATTTATTATTTATTTTAATATTTTTTACTATTATTCCTTATTAAGACCCACAGACATTTCACTGATACATAAATCTTTGATGAATCTTGAATCTGTGATCACGTCAGTGAGAATAGAGATTTGCTTTTTTTTAATGAAGGTTATTAATATAATATTTAATATAATGTATAATATTATAATATTTGTGTCAGATTAGAAAGTCGTTAATGACACGAAGTGAGTTTGGAAGACGACATCATCTTCACACTGCAGTCTAATGAAATCCTGTAAATCATCATTAATGAAGTGGTAATTAATAATTAATGAGCCTGAGGCAGCTCACACACACACACACACACACACACACACACACACACACACACACACACACACACACACAGTGGCTCAGTGATTCACTCCTGGCAGAGAGCAGGACAGGGAGGCCTCATCATCTTCATCCTCAGTGGCGGCGGCGGCGGCGGCGGCGGCGGCGCCTGTCGCGGAGCCACTTCAGAGTCAGAGCCGCTGTAATTGGTTCTGACCAGTTATTTTAACAGATGACATGAGGAAATAATAAATGTGAGGCGGAGCCCGGCCCGACACGCTCGGCTGCCTCCTCGTCATGACAGCCACCCTTCTGCAAGCTGCTGCAGGCTAATAGGAAGAGAAAAGACGGCTGGGGCCCCCGGCCCATTCTGGGCCCCTGGTACCTCTGTGAGTGTCTGGGAGGCTGAGCAGGAAATTAAGAAGCTGCGAGCTGGAATCTTCCACCTGTTCATTTTCACATTTTCTCTGATTTGAGCTCGAACTGACTCTGACAACAGCTGCTGCTCCTCCACCTCCACCTCCTCCTCTTCCTCTTCCTCCTCCTCCTCCTCCTCCTCCTCCGCCTCCTCCTCGGGATCTGACCAAACAGAGGCCTCTGCTGCTACACCTCAGTAACTGTTCCTGCTTTAATGAATAAAATTAATTTGATCATTTTATGCACATTTTCAATTTGCCCTAAAAAAAAATGGAAATTTGAGAAAATCTTGAAATATCAGGAAACTAGAGTCACCTCCTCGTGGTCGTATCCCTCCGCCACTCAGACACACACAGGTCACATCCTGTTTATCCAGAGTCAGAGAGAATATAAAATATCAACCGTCTGTGTGAAAGTTTGCGTCTTGAGTAACGGCTAAAAAGTGAGGTTTGTGAGGTCACACTGACCACACCACATTTGACCTTTGACCTTTGACCACCAAATTCGAAGCGGTTCGGCCGGAGCCTTCCTCACATTAACACATGAAACAAACAGAAATGTCAGATTTCCTCACGGTTCTCCGTCGACCTCTTCTTCTTCTGCAGTGGTTTAACGGCACAGCAGCTGTTTATCGGGACGAAAAATCTCCATCAGTCCAAAGAGACGTCTACATGTCTTTCTTTGTCCAACCAGAAGTTGTTTACAACTGATTATCGAAATTGTCACAAGTAAATTTGTCTGCTGCTCTCTGGTCTGTGAGAGGAGTATTGACCTGCTCTGAAGCCGTGTGTGTGTGAGTGAGCCGTGACGCAGCGCGCTGATATTCTGGATGCTGGAGTCGTTTCTAAAACTGGTAAATCTCTGTGAGCTCACTCGACCCCTCAGCTGTCAGTCGCCTTGTTGTTCTGGCTCAGACTCAGTTTGTATTCTGACGGCGTGCGACAGGAAAGCGAGCGAGCGTCCCCTGAGTGCTGGAGGAAACAAAAGCAGAGAGAAGCCTTAAATCCCCGACTCTCTGCCCCCGGTGTTTCCTCCTGACAGAGCTGAGCCGAGCCGAGCCGCCGCTCACACTGTTTCCTCTTCCTCACTCATGATCCTTCCTGCTGGGAAACAGATGGGGCTTCTCTAACGAAAACGCCATCATTGTTTAATGAAGTTAATAAGATGGCTAAACACCAGCTTTTAATTGTCTCATTAATGCAGAAGTCCAGTGTGAAGCGAGGTCTGCAGGGACGTACCGTTTGTTATGATAATTTCTGTCTCAATAAAGTTTGCATTTGAAAACTTGAGGTGATTAATGAAGGTATTGTGAAAATGCTTCTGCCACTGTAATTAAAACAGATAAACTGTTTCTACAGAGTGGTTTCTGGCTTGTACTTCCTCCACTCTGACCCACGCTCACACTCAGCTCCTCATTCAAACAGATGGAGCGGGAACACGTCTGAGCCTGAGTTCTTGGCTCAGTGTGGACTGGACTTGGATCCCGGTTGAAGTTCACAAGGACACGGACTGAGAGGCTTCGTGCGTCTCTGTTTCCCTTCAGTCAATCAAACTGCTGCAGTACGTTTAAACCTGCAGACATTTTAACGTTAGAGTTCTTACATTTTGACGTAGGGGTCGGAGAATCCATTCACGTCCATGGCTGCCAGGTGGGCGCAGCGTTTCACGCCCACGCAGAGACCCCCGCTGCGACGACCTTCGCCTCCTCCTCCTCCTTCCACATCTTTATCCTCCAAACTGAGCGGAGGCAGAAACTGCAGGGAGAGAAGAAGACGACCTCTCTCCTCCAGGCTGTGCAGCTGCTCGTTCTCCCACTGTGGACCAGATTACATTACATGGATTAGTTTAGTCTGATTAGTTAAATCAGATTAGTTTTGTTGTTGGTTTACTTTGGTCAAACTAGTTTAGTAAGATTTATTAATCGGATTAGCTTGGTTGTTACACCTAATCAGATTAGTTCAATCAGATTAGTTTAGTTGGATTAGTTTGGTCAGATTAGGTTGGTTGATCATTTTAGTCAGACTAGTGAAATCAGATCAATTTAGTCAGATTAGTTAACTCGGATCAGTTTGGTTGGATTGATTTAGTAATATTTGGTTAGTTGGATTAATTTGGTCATTCATTTCAATCAGATTAATTTAATCAGATTATTTCTGGTTGGTTACTTTAGTCAAATTTGTTTAGTAAGATTTATTTAGTTGGATTAGCTTGGTTGTTATATTTAATCAGATTAGTTAAATCAGTTTGTTTTGTTTGTTTGGATTAAGTTGGTTGATAATTTTAGTAGGACTAGTGAAATCAGTTCAGCCACTTTGGTGTGACTATTTAAGCGTTGGTTAATCAGATTAGTCTAATTTAGTCAGACTACTTCAGACAGATTAGTAAAGTGTTTGAAAAGAGATGATCAAGAAAAGAAAAGAAAATCAAGCAGCAGAAACATTTTCTCAGTGGTTGGTGACATCAGTTTGTCCACAGACTAAAATATCTCAACATGTAATGGATGAACTGGAGATGTTCATGTGCCCAGAGGATGAATCTTATCGATCTCCTAACGATCCCTTCATCTAATGCCATCAACAGGTCCAAACCTCCACTCGTCCACATCAGTTCATGACAGGAAACCTTGAAAACAAATGAGTGGAGTTTAAGATCAATGTGAACATAGCATGCTAACGTTAGCATGCAGCACATATTCAGAACTGGCCCCATTCATGCTCCTCTGAGGATGGACCCGGTCCAAGTTTTCCTCTTCAACAATCTAATCTGCAGATTAACATGGAACTTACTTTATTCATTAAATTAATTCATTTTAGAATACGGACAGAAAACATCAGTATCAATATCTTTAAATTTAAAACTCAAAATGATAAGATGTCTTGGTGTTTTACAGCCATTCGACTTTTGTTTTGATGCGTCTTCTGATGTTTCTGTCGGGACTCAACCGCCTCGGGTGTTTTCAGCTGCTTCTGTACTTTTGCTTCAGGCACTTCTGACTGAAAACATTTGAATATGTCAGTGTGGCTCCCACAGGTGAGGACACCTGTGGACATCAAACCCACATGCAGCAGTTTTTCCAGTGAGGAATCACTCTGCCAGCAGGCTGCTGCTCCGTCTGTCACTTTCTCTACTCAGCTTCACCTACTTCACCTGGGGAAAAGGTCGGACGAGGACAAAACTCCAGCAACACTTCTAATAAAGACCAACGTTATTTTGGCGCAGTGTGTTTCTACTTGAGGTCTCCATCAGGGTCATCAGTGCAGTTTGCACTCAATGCTGTCTTTTCCTTCTGCCCTACACCTGTGTTTCTGTCTGACATGTTTTGTTCACCTGTTCAGTTCGTCTCTATTAAAGCAGCAGAGTGAACTCAGTTCGGCAACAGGCTGACGGGATGTTTATCTCACAGTGTTGGGAAGGCTGTGGGTTCAGTTAAATGTGAATACAGTAGATGTGTACTTCCTGGATACCTGACGCATCTTATTAACTACAGCTCAGCGTCACACTGCACTTGGTCCTGAGACAGTTTGGTCCTTGAGAATCAGGGAAATTGGCTTTTAAATTTAACCTCCACACAAGTGGAATAACATTCAAACAAGATCAAAATGAGATGAGTTAATCCCTCTTAATCTTTTAAAATCTCTGTTAGCTGACTCAAGGCAGAGCATAAATTGCTTTTATCAACCCATGTATTACATGTTTTAAAGCTTTTATTGTTGTTATACGTTTCACTGTTTATTGCTCATCAGTTTTTACATTATTGTTTCTCATATTTTGTTTGAGGGCGTCCGTGATGAAGAGAGTTCGCTTTCAGTGTTCTGAAATCAAGGTTTGAATTAATGAATTTGTTTTTGTTAATTAGATTAAATTATTAAAACACTCCAAACTTACACAGAGTAACGGGACGTTAAGAAGACGCCACTGTTCAGCACTAGAAAGGAGCAGGTTGAGCTGGTGATCCACCGACCAATCAGAGCGCGACTGTCTGAGTACAGGTGGAGCTGAGAGGCCTGACTGGATAATGTAGGTATCACGCCTGCTTTTAGCTTGGTCTGAAAATAGACCAGACGTCGGTGGGAGTCGAACCTTTTGAGTCTGTCCGCTCTGATCTGGTTTTCTACTGATGAGCTACAAATTTAATTTCATCCCAAAAACGAGAGAGAAGAGCCGGTGAAACCTCGACCTCCAGCAGTGACGGTGTTCATTAAAACGCATCTCACTGCACTGTCTCGGATTTGATCTTTGCGGTCATGACACAGCAGAGGGTGAGAAGATCGATAGTTTAATCCTCCATCTTTGTCTCGCCTCCACACTCTCCCTCTCCTCCCTCCTGCGGTGAGGATTCCCGCTCTATTAGCTCACTCCATCACGCCAGCAGTCCTCATTACAGACGGCCTGAGCCCAGTTTACCTCCCGCACTCTCACTTTGATCACATCACCCTGCGTCACGCTCTGACCTTTCACTTCGCCTCCAAAAAAGACCCAAAACTTTTAATCTTCATCTGTTTGAACTTTATTTTTATTCCAGTCATTTATTCTACGTGTTTGTCCGAACGTCAGTTGGTGCTCGGCTCCACAGAGCCTCCATCCCGCTTCCCACCATCCTTCACAATAAAACTGCAGCTAAAAAAAGAAGAAAAAAATAAAAAGGTCAGAAAATAAGCAGATCGATGGCTTTTAGCGGGAGTCAGCACAGCTTGGCCGGATTTCTCTCCCGCCTACCTCCACTTGGTGGGAGAGGGACTTTGTAGATGAACCCTGAACGCTGAATAAGATTTCAGCTCGGCAACATTCACAACCAGCTCGGCAACATTCACAACGCCAACCTCTCTGACTGAATATCTGGATATCTGCTCCAATTCATGTTTCAGTAAACACAGAGGTACGTGGAGGGAAATGTCAGAGTCCTCATGTTTAACAGGGGCGTCTGAAGCGACAGAGTAAAGGTCTGATCATGCAGATCTCTGCTTTAACTGACAGCAGCTCACAGGAAGCGTCACGTTCTCCAGGAGATTAAGAAGTGACCGTGTTCCCCCAACAACTGACTGAACAGCCGAGGAACGTTTGGCACCTTGGTTGAAAATTAATCAATGAATTGATCATCCGTCTCCAACCTGAACAACTGTCTGATACGACTCATAGGTAGGCGTACCAACCTCTGTCGCCATGGTTACTATAATAACATGTCATGGCTGGGTTAGAATAAGCACTTCCTCATTAGACGATCGTTGTTGTCATGGTTACAATAATAACAATGAGGTTAACTTTGATAATAGAAACAACATAAACTGCTACTTCCACATGGGAATCGAACACACTGCTCTCTCTGGGTCACATTCATCCACCACCTCCTCCTGACTTTGTCTTTCTTTACACTACGTCACCGACACGTTTCCCTTCGCTCCTGTCATCATTACTACGACCACTAGATGTTGCCTAACAACAAAACCTATCTATGATGTCATAATGACCTGCTGCACAGACGACCTGTGGGCTCGTTTCTTCACAGGAGGACAGTCTTCTTCTTTGATTATAGATCAGCTCTAGCTTCTATATTAATACTGTGAAAGTATCAAAGCCTCAGTCCACAGAGAAATGCACACAGCCTGTATTCAGAAACTGAGCCTTAAAACCAGCCGTCAGGACTTCTGGAACTTTGTGATGTCACAACAAAGCAGTCACCAAGCCCCGCCCACCTGGACCCACCATCCAAACCTTGCAGGATTTGGTTTCTCTGAGTGTTTTTACCTGAAATCTGCTTTATTTTTATTGGATCACTCAGAAAACAGTCAGCCAATCAGAAGAGAGGCTCAGAGCCTCCTCTCTTCTGATTGTGTCCTGCCCATGATTTTATCCATGGATAAAACCACATATGATGCAGCTTACAGTTTGAATGACAGGGGTGAACCAGGACTGTGAGTCAGCTGAGGGTCAGGTTTTCTCTGGGAATGGAAAAGTTTGGGCTGAGGATCAATATCTGAAACAGGAAAATCTTCACGGATAAAACATAAAGGCGTCAAAACAATCAACTGACAAGAAAACTGCTTCATCAGTTAAACTATCTCCTTAAAGTTTTACCATCAAACACATATATCCATAATCCGGCAGCTGGACAAAATCTTTAAATCTCTGCCAATAAACAATTTATTAAAAACAATCAGGTCTCTATCAAGAAAACGTAATGTGATTTTACCTTTAAATGAGGTTAATAAAGTGATTTACATGTAATATAGGACACGACACATCTCTTTTCTCTGGTAGCTCTCACACCTCTGACTCACTCAGCAGCCAAACGATGAATAATAAATATTAACAACAGGCAAGCATTAATGTTAATGTTAATGTTAATTTGAACAAATTGTGATGCACAATAAATAAAGATGTCTTTGGGCCGAGGCTGCTAATTACACATGTTTGTGTTACTATCAGTTTGTTTAATTACTTAATGTAAAAGGTGGAAAACCCTCTGAGCGGAGAGGAAATAAAGAGGAAACTCTGTGAAGGCTGAAAAGCTTCTGATGGAAAACCAGCGCAACACTTCTGATCAAACAAACTGCTTCATCTCATCATATCAGCGGAGGAAGAGTCGTCCTCTCATCCCACCGTTACAGAGAAACACTGTCAGTCTGAGCTGCCGTTTGTTTTCAGGTGTGTGCTGTGGGCTGCAGTCAGCTGCTCTCAGATCAGCCCGCACACACAAACAAAAGAAGGTGAGTCATTAAGCAAAGCTCATGTTTGTCCCCGCGCCGGAGTCAATTGGCTGAAAACTCCAGAGGGATTTCACAGACAATAAAACACCTCCCCCGCCTCCGTCTTTGAT